CGGGGGCCGGCGCAGCGAGGAGCGGGGGCGACGCCTGCCGTCCGGCGCGGGGAGCGCACCACGGGCGCCAGCCCCACCTGGAGGCGCCCCGCCGCGCTCGCTGGACGTCCGTCTTCCCAGGCTGGCGCCCCTTCCGGGGAGAGACCCTGGCCGGGGTGGGGGTGGGGGGGCCACTGCCCGGAGCCGCGCGCCCACCGACGGGGATAGGTGTGACGGGCGCTCTTCCGCGCGGGAAAGGCCCTTCCTACCCCGCCTTGGCCCTGGGCACCGGGAAGTGACCTGGCTGGGGGACACGCTTTGGGTCACGCAGGGGGTACAAGGGAGCGCGCGGCACCCTGTACCGCTTCTGGTTCCGAGAAGTACAGAGAGAGCCCGGAAAATCTCCCGAGCCGGTGTCCTCCTCGCTGAAGAGGGGATGGGGTCACCACCTGGTTGGTGAGGGGCTTGGTGGTCCAGGAGGCAGAGCCTGGCAAAGGGAAACCCACCTACACGGAGGAAGAGCCGCTGCCAGGCAGGGTCGGGACCTGCTGCTCTCGGGGACTGCTCTCCAGGCGACCTGCTGTGCGCTATGTAGGGAGGTGGCAGAGTCACGGGCGTTCCAATCCGGAGGGCAGAAAGGATACAGGTAACATCATTGCGGTTCCGAAGCTTGCTCCAAGACCTGGCCTTCCTGAGGGAGATTGCATCCCTGCCGTGGGGACCTCACTGCTCCGGGTTTGTGAATGCGGGAACCAACTGGAGAAGGTGGCAGTGAGGTCACAGAACCCGACCTTGCATCATAGCCCCCAGGCGACGCCTGGGGCAGTAGGGGCTGCTGCCCACAGAGCTGTCGACCCCAAAGACTGAGGAGGGATGGGGCGCCTGCTGGCTGAGACCAGTTGACCTGCCCAGGGTAAAGCTTGCCTTGCACAGGAGGTAAAGAGGGTGCGACAGTGGAGATCTTGAACTCGCTTCCCCTTCCTGTCCCGCCCCCACTGTGCCTGGGGGATCCGGTCCCACTCCAGGGCTCCCTCCACCATCCGTAGGCAGAAGACTCAAAGAAAGGAGAGCTTCTCCACAAAGCTCTGCCCCTTCTCCCACCATCTCAGGCCAGTCTTGCTCTGACTCAGCCTCTCCACGAGCATCCCCGTCTCTACCTCTCCCCCCACCTCGGATTCACCTCTGCCTGACATCTCGGCTGCTCTGGGCCCTCACCCCTGCGCCCCTTCCCTGTTGGAGCCCAGCTCTTCCCCACCCGGGCTGTTCCCCTCTGCCCCCGGAAAATCGCCTGGCACTCCCGTCCTCTGCTACTCTCTCTGAGATGTACCCATGGGTCTGATGTCCGTCATTCTGGTCAGCCACTAGCCCCCCACCCCGCCCCGATCGCATCGGGGCCTTGAGCCCCCGAGACGGTCTGTGCCATGCGGGACTCCAGCACCTCTCTATCTCCGTCTCAGGCTCCTCACACAGCCCCGATAGCCAGGAGGTGTCAATGAAAACATGTGGGCTGGCAGCTCAGAGGAGGAGGGGCCCAGCAGGCAGCACCAGGCAGGCATGTGTTCGGAGCCCAGCTGGACAGGCGGCTCCCCTCCCCCTGCCCCGCCCCCCCCCTCCAGCGTCCCTGCGGGAAGCAGCCCAGGTGGGTGGGCCCAGGTAGGCCAGTGACATCACCCAGGTCTCAGCGTGCCTGCTGCGGTGGCCTACAGAGCCAGGCTGATGTACACGAAGGCCACCGTTTCAAAGCCCGGGGGAGCACGGTTTTGCTTGTTAACGCTGCGGGGCCGTGGAGACAGAGACCTTGATGCAAGAAGAGAGGAACAAGTCGCCTTTGTCAGACATCTGCTGTTGGAAAGTCAACAGCCCTGGTAACACGATGAGGGGCAGATGGCTCCTGTCTCCTGGTAACATCCTCTCTGTTGGATTCTTCCAGGAATGAAGCAGCATCCCTTCACGTCTTCTAGAGTCCGAAGACATCCGTCATCGTCACGCTGAAGCATGTTGTCAGAGGTATTGGAGCCAGGGTTGTGCTGGTTCCCGTACGGAAGCCCCTTGATCCTTCTTACTCCTCCCCGTTCGGCGTCTCTTCCTGCTCAAGCTTCTCACGCCTGAGACCGCTCCCCTCTTCTCACCCTAGGCTTCAAGGATCTACCCTCCCTCTTGCCATCCTGACCACTTAGCCATCTTCCTCTTTCAGACCCAGGCCCCAGCGCTTGTTAAATCAGCCCCCATCAGCACTTCCTGTTCAATCCCACCTAGGGAGCCCTGCTCCCCACCAAACCCTGCAGCTCCCTTCCTGTAACGCGCAGGAGGCTGGAGGGAGTTTTCCTGAGACCGTTACGCTTAACCCTCGCTGTGTGTCTTGTCTTCCGTTTATTTGAGGGCTGAGACTTTGGGCTCGAGTTCAGGGTAACACAGGTTATGCTCATTGACCTTAAAGGCCCCAGTAGATGTCAGCTAAAATTAAAACACTCGGGCCAGACATGCTCTCTAGGAGGATAAACAAACAAACAAAAAAAGGCAGAATTGGTATGGATGAAGAGGAAAACAAGCAGTTGTCTCCTCCTTCAGGGGGGTCTTGGAGCATTTTAATTCTTTTTTTTTTTCTTGCATTACTTTTCGTTGATGAATAATATAGGTGAATTATACAAATCTTAATGAATTTTCTGAATAAAGACAAATACGCAAAAAAGTGTCCCAATCGCATTTCCATCACCCTGGAAAGTCCCCACATGTCCCTTCCCAGAAAATTCCCGAATCCCACCAAAGCAGCCCCTGCTCTGGTACTTTTTACCATGGGTCGTTTTTTGTCTTTTCTTTTTTTAGTTTTAGAAAGAGCTAGAGAGCGCGAGCACACATGAGTGGGAGAGGGCATAGGAAGAGAGAGAAAGAGAGAGAGAATCTTAAGCACACTCCACACTGAGTGTGGAGCCTGACACAAGGCTTGATCCTACCACCCTTGGATCATGACCTGAGCCAAAGTCAAGAGTCAGACACTCAACTGACTGAGCCCCCCAGGCGCGCCCCCCCCCCCGCCCAGGGGCCCCAATATCAATGGAATGATACAATGAACTTTTTCCCTTATGGTTTCTTTCACAGAGCTACATTTGGGGGGGGGGGCATTCATGCTTTACTACCTATATCCGTACTTTAGGAAATGCATCTTCTTCCTCCAGCTGCTTCTAAGATCGTCTCCTTGTTTTTTGAGAAATGTGATTAAAATAGTATCCCCCCTCCTTCCACAAACTCAGAAGTGTATGATCAGTCACTCCCCACAATCCCAGGGCAGCTCTTTCTGCCCATGGGTCCCGTCCCGGTGCTGTAACAGAATCACCTTTTTGCACCAAAAAAAAAAAAAAAGAAAAAAAAAAATAAAATAAAATAAAACGACACATCTTAGTGTAGTTTTCTTTGTGTCTATCATACTTAGGATGAGCTGGGCTTCTTGGTTTATGGGTTTATAGTTTGCATGAAATTTGGACATTTTCAGCCATTATTTTTTTTTTAATATTTTCTACTTTCTCCCATTTCTGGGACTCCAACTATATGTACGTGATATCTCCCAATATTATCCCATGGGTCACTGAAGGTTTCCAAACCTTTAAGTCCTTCTTTGTCTCTGTGATTCAGTCTGGGTAGGGTCCTATAGCTGAATATTTAAGTTTGCCAATCTTTCCTTCTGCAGTGCTTAATCCTCTGTTCAGTCCATTCAGTGTTTCCTTTCAGATATTGTATTTTTAGGTCACAGAATTTTTATTTGGTTCGTTTTTATTTCTCTGCCAGGGTTCCCCGCGTTTTTTCATCTTTTCTTTTAAATTCTCGGATGTACGTCTAATGGCACCTCTGAGCTCTTTGCTAATTTTAAGATCTGTGTCATCTTTGCATCTATTGATGCTTTTTTGTCCTGATTATCTTCCTGTTCCTTTGCACGTCTAAGTTTTTACATATTTATTTATTTTTGAGAGGGGGGAAGGGGAGGAGAGAGAGGGAGAGAGAGGATTCGAAGCGGGCTCTGCGCTGACCGCAGAGAGCCTGATGTGGGGCTCAAATTCACGAACCAGGACATCATGACCCAAGCCGAAGTTGGACGCTTAGCCCACTGAGCCGCCCAGGCGCCCTTGCACGTCTAATTTTTTAATTGTCTGCATTCTTGGGAGTCTAGATTCGTTTTCATGTTATCAGCTTAAGCTGATAGAAGCCCTTTCTCCAGAGCTCCGGTAGCCCCAGTCATAAGCATGGTTTTTCTGAGCCCGGAACTGAGCGCCTAACGCATCTGACGAGGTCTTTCCACCCTAGCTGGTCAGAACTCCTGGGATCCCCTCCACTCTCACAGCCCCCGGGGAGGCTTTAGGAAGCAAGGTTTTCATCCTGATGATGCACAGCTCACACGAGAGGGAAGAGTTTAGGGCTCTCGTGCAGAAAGCCATCGCTTCTTTTCTGCACAACTTTTCTGATTCGGTACCCTCCTCATATGCTCCAGCCCTCCTGGCCACAGACTGGGAGCTGTGTCCTCTGCTCAGAAAGAACGCTGCTCTCTGAGTGACTTTGCTTCTCCAGGCTGCCGTTCAGAGGTCGTCCCTGCCAGCACGCAGGGTTAATGGGACCATCTCCCACGCCCCCATCCTC